AGTTGGAAGCACCATCTCTAATTCAAAGAAAAGGAAAATGAGGCACTGATCACCCAGCTATTCAGCAGCAAAGCATATATATAAAGCGTGTGTGTGTGTGTGTGTGTGTGTGTGTGTGTGTGTGTGTGTGTGTACACACATATGCACTTATGCAGTATAGATGTCAAAGTTCATCCCTGAATCCTTGCTGAGGCTGCTTCACCTGGTCCTCTCGGGCTCTCGGGCTGTGAAGGCTCTAAGAAGGTTCTGACTAGTTTCTCTGTTCTGTTGGAGTAGCATCCATGTATTCAGTATCACACTAGCGTGCTGGGAAGGATTCTAGGGAAGAGACAGCAGAGAATACTGAGCAGTTACCTTCTTTTTCCTGAATGGCCAGCTAAGAAGTTGTTACTGGGACAGAACAAGACACATTCATTCATCTTGAAGCCAGACGACCCTAAATCTCAGCCCTGATATTTCTGATGTGACCTTGGGCATCTTGGTCCTCTTTGGACCTCCGTTCCTATACCTATGAACTGTAAAAAGAGTTCGTAACTCAGAGAGTTAAGTGAGCTCTCCCATAAGAAAATATGGGATATCTCGCAAGTATCCAGTTTTAGTTTTGTTGTTTCCTTTTTCCCTCTGCTTGGGGCTTGGGAGGGCATCCTCCCACATCCGGGAACCTTGGAACCATTCGTGAAATGTTAATGAATGCTTATCTCTTGTAATAATTAGTACAGGCGTGGACTGCTGGAAGGCTACTTGTAGTATCAAATGTGATCTGGGTGTTTCCATAAAGGTGCTTTTTAAAATGAGACTGACATTTTATTTTATTTTGTTGTTTTGTTTTCCGAGACAGGGTTTCTCTGTGTAGCTTTAGCTGTCCTTGAACTCACTCTGTTCTGTAGACCAAGTAGGCCTGGAACTCACCTGCTTCTGCCTCCTGAGTGCTGAGATTGACATTTAAATTAGTGGACCTTGAGTAAACAGATTACCCTCACTATAGTAGGTGGGTCTCATCCTCTCAACTGGATAGAGCAAAACACTGGCCTCCTTCCAGCAAGAGGGAGTCCTCCAGCAGCCTCCATTTGGGGGTCATCGGCAAGAGAGGCCCCTTGGAGACCTTTGGACTGGAACTAGAACATCTCTGTGGCTGAGCTTGTTGGTCCAGCCTGCACAATAAACCAGTGACTTAG